ATGAATGCTTTTTTGACTTACAGATTTACAAAGAGCTTCAACTTATGAGTTACTACTAAAAGAAAAATGGCACAGACAATTCAAAGGACATAGAGACTCAGACCCATGTGACGTCAAACCAGGAATAGTGCACACACCTGTAGTCCCAGGTGTGGGAGAGGTCAGGCAGGAAGATCACCCATTCAGTAGGACTCTGTCTCCAAATAAAAATCAAAGCTGGCTAAGCAGGTAGCTGAGTAGAAGAATGCCCCTGGATTAGACTCCCAATATCACACAAAAAAGGTGCAGAAAATCAGCCAGAAAAAAATAGGTATTATAACACAACAATAACATTTGTTGAAACATTAGTGATATATCAGAAATATGGCAAAAACAGGTATTCTGGTTTTTGTTTGTTTGTTTTTGTTTGTGTTTGTGTTTTTTGTGGGGGTGAGGCTGGCATAGCATGTGGTGCCTGGGATTGAACCGCTGTCCCTGTGCTCTTGCCTAAGCTTTCCTAAGCAGGTGCTTTAACCACTGAACTATCTTGCTGGCCCATTCTATGTACTTTGGACTCTATTTAGAAGACGATAGAAGATATTTCATGTATTCTAAGAAGGGAATTAGACAATCAGAGTTGTGCTTGGCAAAACTCCTGCAAACTACTTGGGATTTAGGAGCAAAGCAAAGTATGTTCAAGATAAAGGGTGTGGGCCACTCTGTTCACTTTTGCACAAAGGCTATTCTAATACTTATTCTGGACCCTTGTAGGGAACTCTAGTGAGTATTCATAAAATAAACCACCAGAGATCTGGCTCAGAGTTTAGGAGATTCCTACTAAACATCAGGAAGGGAGCAGTGGTGATGGTAGTGGTGGTGTGTATATTTAGATTCATGAAACAGTTCAAAAAGTCAGTACCAAATTCATGAATCTTTGTCCTTCTAAAATTTAGGATAACGGCTGCACCCATAGAAACATTTTTAATAGGTCTATCTGATTTTTCTGCCTATTATCTTTCTATTATGCCTCCAAAGCATAATATCTATTTCACCTACATATCTATGTATTAATTCTTCAAATATAAAAGACACCTATATATCTTGTTCCCATTAAGAATCATGTATACAGATGCACATCTAAAATTTGAAACAAGAAGGATATGTGGCAGGCCTGTTTCAGCTGCTTCTGTAGCCTGCTCTGGCTTTTGCACTTTTTTTTCAGAACTGGGGATTGAACTCAGACCCTTTTACTTGCCAGGGAAGCGCTTACTGTACTGAGCTATCTCCTCATTGCAGTCTTAACTCGGTGCTCCATCCAGTACCATGAAGAAATGGGATGCTCGGGTGGCCTACATGAATCCAATAGCAATGGCCAGATCAAGAGGTGAAATCCAGTCTTCAGGGCCAACCATCAATCCAGTATTATCTGAATTGACCCAGGCCTACCTGGAAAGAGGTGAAAGAGCAACTAGGAAAGAGCAAAAAAGGCTCTAAGGCTTTGGCTGAATTTCAAGAAAAAATGAATGAGAATTTGAAGAAAGAACTAGAAAAGCACAGAGAAAAATTAAGTGGAAATGAGAGCTCATCTTTTAAAAAAAAGAAGAAATCTACAGGGTATTCATCTTCTTCATTGAGCTCTGATTCTTCCAGCAGTTCTTCAGATTCTGAGGATGAGGAAAAGAAGCAAGCAAAAAGGAGAAAGAAAAAGAACAACCATTCATATAAATCTTTTAAAAACTCCCTGTCAGGAACTGAGTCAGACAGTAAGGATAGTTTAAAAAAGAAAAAGAAGTCAAAGGATGCAACTGAGAAAGAAAAAGACATTAAAGGACTTACCAAGAAAAGAGAGATGTATCCTGAAGATAAACCTTCAGCTGAGTCCTTGTCAGAATCAGATCATACTGAAGAGATACAAGCGAAAAAGAAGAAAAGCAACAGAAAAAAAAAAAAACAGACAAAAGAAGCATAAGAAACACAGTAAGAAGAAAAAGAAGGCTGCTAGTTCAAGTCCTGAGTCACCTTAACATTAACAAAAACGAGGACTCCCCTACGAAGAAAGTGCAATGTCTAAAGAAATTTCACCTGTGAAATTGTGATATATGTACTAATGTGCATGAGTTTTCTTGTTTTTTAGAGTTGTTCCCGGACTATTCAACAGGCACTCCAGTGCTGCTATATAAAGGGCCAGAATTGTTGCTTGCTGCTTGAACATCTACTTTTTCTCCTCCAGTGAGTGATAAGCTTGGAGACAACACACTGCAGTTCACACTCATGATTAAAGTATTTGGGAAGAAAGCTAATATTTTTGACTAGAAGTATCTGGTGATAAATCAATAGGAAATGAATACTGATACATCTTAAGATGTAATCAGAAATGGCCAGATGACTCCAGTTAAGTTTTTTAAAGTAGGGATTACATTAATATTTTGAAATCTTTACTCTTAGATAAGTGTGTCTTAATTTTTTTCCCCCTTGTATACTTTTTACTTACCTCTGGAAGGAGCTTTTAGGGTGAAGGGAGGGGTGGTTTGCTATCCCTTTAGCTAGCAGAATAGTGTGACTTTAGTCCTCACACCTACTTTTGTGGACACAGTAGCCATGCTTCCTGGTGAGGTCAGAGCTGGGTAGGAGCCTTCTTGCCCTTTATTGAGCTTAATGGCATCTGTAGACTTTGTCATTTACTGTTTGAGTGAACCAGAGAAATAGCCCTTTTCAGCATGAGAAAGCCCCAAAGTCCTAGGTCTATCTCCACATCAACAAAAATTTGAATTTTTTTTAGCTTTAGAATGTGTTATGTCATTTGAATTAATTTTTGACCGTACTTCGCCTTTGGAGAGGAATTGTTTCATATAAACACTGGTACTTTTTGAACTTAATAGCTAAAGATTCTAAAATGCATGTTTTACACTATTAAGTTTTCACCAGTTAGGAAAATTTTTTGTAACCAATGATAGTTACTTTATTTTTTTTGTATGAATGTAGTTCAGGCTGCAATATTTAGCTTTTGTTAACTCTTATTTGTACTGTCTCAAGTTCATTATTATGTGTAAGGGCACTCTTTCCAAAATATTTAGCATGTAAAAAGCAGGTTTTGAGTTTTTGTTTTAAACAGCTTCATATTGAAGCTGAGACTTACAAACAAGTTGAGAGGTGGGCCTGGTATGCTGCATCTTGTTACATAAAGCTGTTGCCAGAATCTTAGTAAATACAATGTTTTAAAAGTTTATCTCTGTATATTCACAACAAATTATGACAAGTTAGATTTAAGTGAGAATTGTATTATTGCTCTTGTGTCATATTTTACTAAGATTTCGTGCCTTATATCTCTTACTGAATTACTAAGAATGTTAAGGGGAATTGCTAAATCATTCTCATTTTACATTTTTATATAATCAGGTAATCTGACATATAGTTTGATGTACAATTTTGCCTGCTACAGAGGGTGTGCTCATTATAGTGTTATATGCACAGAACACTTTGGCATGATAAGAAGCTGAATAAACAGCCATTTTACTTTAAAAAATAATTATAAAATAAAATTTGAAACAAAAACACCAAAATGCTAACAACATTTTTTAACTCTTTTAAGGTAACAACTTTATTGGAGATATTCATCATATTTTTATTTTTTCTATATTTTCACATTGTATTAAGTTTTTATTACAATGATCACATATTTCTTTCCTAATAAGAAAAACATGTGTCTTTTCCCTCTGTGCCTTTCTCAATTCCAATGTCAGGTGCTTCTGAGAGGCCAGCTACTCTTCCATATAATTCAAAGTGACTGAAAGCCACACTGACCCCATCTTATACTTCTAGTTCTTTAAGCCACCACCCACCTGGGCCTAGCCAAGTCCGTATTTGCCACAATCCTCAAATCCTGTGTCACAATCCAAGAAATTATATATGCTGCCTCTATGCCTCTTTACCAAGGAAGTAATCCTGTCTGTGGTCTGTGGGAACAAGACCGACCGGGAGTCCATGGGCTTCTGTGCAGCCTCAGCTGCTTCTCTTTCTAACAAGTCTTCCCGGCCTCCACTGCTAATCCCAGCATTTCCTAAATCAACCACTATTCAAGAACTCCCCCCAAGAAGTCCTGCTTCCACAGAACAGGTGTGGTGACAACAGAACCAGAAAGAACAGAGCTATTAGAATTAAAGCCATGAGATCCAGCAACGGGACATTCCCCAGTACAATACAGAATCAGTGACAGACAACATTAAATAGCTCCTCTAGAAAATGAAAACTCTGGAAATACCTAACACACTATCCTACTGTTGTCTAACAATCCTGTCATTTGCTATAGAGAACTGGACATGAAAAGTCTAAATTTTTTCTGAGCTTATTGATCCTATGTAATTTACTGGTCACATGGAATATCAATTTATCCACAGGTATAATGAGATTGCTGATAATATTTCTACCTACCCAAAAGGTTGATTTTAAAAACTAAAGAAGAAAATAAGAATCCATAGGCTATAAACATTCTCAGAACAAGTGTGTTATCTTTCATTTTCTGAACAAAAAATAAGCTGATGTGGGATTTTTAAAGGCTTTTTTCAACTTTTCCTCAGGGCCCAGTACCCAGAGAAAAAGTAACTATTTCTTCTCTGTGGGTGTTGTCTTTAAGAAGGAAAGCCATGTATATCTCCTTTCTTGAGACCTATAAATATTGCGAATTCTGAAAAGGAAGTTAGAGTCTTAGTCTAGGTGATCTAATTTTATTGGATTCTTGTATTTATTCTCCTTCTGTTATGCTTAGACCTTTGACAAATATCCTTTAGGTACACTGCCCTTATGTCAGACCTCTGTGGACCACCAGTGGAAGCAACTTCAATCTGGACAGGATTATAAAAGGAGAAGTAAAACCCCTCCAGCCACTACTATGCCAGAGTTTTAATAATTGGGGAACATAATATGGAAAAATGGAGACTGGAGGTATATGGTCATGCAACACCTTTCCACATGGAGAATCCCCAACCAGTTTCATCTTTGAAGGATCCAAGTTGTATTCTGTTAAAGGAGATTTGTTTTCTTAATACTGTCTTCCAAAACATTGACATGAAGAATCTGAATTGGAGAACTTGAATGAAAACAAGGTTGTTCAGTGATTCTTAGGAGTCCGTCATATGTGTAGTTACATGGAAAAGGCGAAGGATGCGCTGCCGGATCTGTTTTGTCTTCACCCCATAGACAATGGGGTTGAGCACAGGAGGAACCAATAGATAGATGTTGGCCATGATGACAGGCAGGAGAGAGTCACGCCGCTTACTAAAACGGTGCACCATAGACAATCCAATGAAAGGTACATAGAATATGAAAACAGCACAGACATGGGAGACACAGGTGCCAAAAGCCTTTGCCTGGGCTTCACGTGTCAAGCCCAGCACAGTCTTAAGGATAAGCAGATAGGAAAAGGAGATGAGAAGCGAATCCAAGCCAATGGCAGAGATGATGACAATGAGACCATAAATGATATTGACACGGATGTCAGCACAGGCCAACTTCATGACATCTTGATGTAGGCAGTAGGAGTGGGAAAGGACATTGGAGCGGCAGAAGGGTAGCTGTTTGATGAAAACAGGCAAGGGAGCCATCAGTGCAGCACCCCGCACCACAGCAGCCATGCCAATCTTGGCAACACGAGGCAATGTAAGCACAGTGGCATGGCGTAGTGGATGACAGATGGCCACATAGCGATCAAAGGCCATGGCCAACAGCACTGTGGACTCCATGCCAGATAAGGAATGGATAGCAAACATCTGTACCAAACAAGCATCAAACTGGATAGTAGTGGAATTAAACCAGAAGATAGCCATCATTTTGGGCATGGATGAGGTGGAGATGAGGATGTCTAGGCCTGAAAGCATGCAAAGGAAGATATACATGGGCTCATGTAGGCTGTGTTCCGTCCGTACAATGTAGATGATCATCAAGTTACCTAGCACAGCAATCAGGTAGAGTGAACACAATGGGAAGGCCAACCAGAACTGAGCTTCTTCCAAGCCTGGGAGACCTATTAGGATGAAATATGTGGCACTAGATTCATTGCCAGCAGGGACCACCATAGTGAAGGAGCTGGGCAGCGGCCAATGCCAGGCACAGAGATGCTGGAAGGCAAAGAGAAGACATCGTCAGGTTCTCAAAATCCTAAAGCCCTGATTCCTTCATCCCAATGTCTTATTCTCTTATGTAAACTCTAATTCCATTGTCCATCCAAATTCTGATCTTATCCTAATTTCAGTCTAACACCAAGTCAAGTACCAAATGCAAATTTACCCACTCCTATTTACTTACTCCACAACCCTACCTGCATAGTCAATCTTGATAACAAGTGAAATACTAAAACAAAATTGTAATCATGTTTTAAATTATTTAGTTCTCAAAGAAAGGCTACTTACTGAATATACATTGAGTTAAGACATGATAGATAGATAGATAGATAGATAGATAGATAGATAGATAGATAGATAGACAGGCTAGATAGATAGATGATAAATAGATATAAAATCACTTCCTTTTTCCTATTCTATCTTTTTGCTCCTCTGTACTTAATAGTAAATTCTAATTATATCATTTCATCACCTTAAAACGAATTCAAAATTAAATATAGTAATACTAGTACTAACACAGATTAACACTGAAACCTAACCTCCTCACTGAGTTCCCACTTCTAGCCTCTATTGACTTTAATAGTAACCCAATACTTCATGACCATTTTTACTTTAACTCAAAATAACAATTACAATAAACCTAATTCCAATAAATATTGGACATAAAGATTTAATCCCAAATCCTAATTCTACATTTTAAACTTGCCCAAATATCTACTCAGAGTTTTACACTTCTCCATACTACTTAGGTTACAACAGAAAAAAAAAAAAAGATAATCTCAGTGGATGCCATTGATAGACCACTCAGGTCCAAAGCAACTGTCTCTCATCTGCAATGTGCATTGAATGTTAAGTGCTCACAGCTCTTCTTGAGAGAATTGTTGTTGCTAGGTGCCAAGGACTGTCTAATATGAAGATACACAAACCCAGCCTCCTTGCCTCTAAGCGAAAGAGTAATGATGCAGGTAATTTGGATATTCCAAAGAGGAGCCATAAAGGATTGCTTTAAGTGAAAAGGAAAAAGTGTATCATAGCTATGTGGGTGCAGGAAAAGACATAGTACATATAGGGTTCAATTTCAATTATCCACTAAGAGTCTTGCAACATGGTCCCACAGTTAACAGGGGATCACTTTATGTCGTTTGAACAAGAATCTCTCTCATGCTGTTTCTAGGAGACCAGCTCAGCCTGAGAGTGGAATTGGCTGGCTCAGTAAGGATACAAAGCCTGAGATGGTGGCATTAGGAGCACTGGAAGGACAACTGATCACATAGCCAGGTGCAGGGTGAATCTGAACTGAGTCCAACTATAAAATGGAGATATTGCTCAGGTTACCTCAGATTGTGCCCTTCTGTTAACAGAGTTAGCTAGCTCTCTCTTGCCCCAGACTTCCTCACTTCTGTGTGGAAATATTGTGCACCTAATCAGATCATGTACACTATAGTTTTTAAATGTGCTTACACACATATACCAGACATAGCACACTGGTTCCTGGTCTGTACACTAGTTCCTTATCTTGTACCTTCACTGCTCATTTTTTTCTATATTATCTTCTTAATCCTGTCATCCATTTCCATGAATTCATTTTCTTCTTCTTTATTTATTTATTTATTTATTTATTTAGTACAGGGTCTCCCTATGAGCTTGGACTCAATGTAATCATCCTGTCTCAGCCTCCTCAGTGGTGGGATTACAAGCATGTACTACCACACCGGGTTTAAGGGTCAGCACAGCACACCCAGAGTTCTGGGGCCAGCAGGGCATGCAGTACCAGGGAACTGAACCCGGGTCCTTGCACTTGCCAGACAGGCACTTAGACTGCAGAGCTATCTTCCCAGCCCCATAAATTCATTTTCTTATGAATAAACTCTTGATTCTAAAATTTAGTGAGTCCTAAATTCTCTTTTGTGATACAGATTTACAATTCTAAAATCTCACTGGAAGAGTCCACCTGACTACCAGTGAAGTACGTCAGACACTTTTAGGGTGCTACTGCTGTGTAGCTGACAAGAGAATAAACCTTGAAAGCAATCCTTCCAAGGTCAATTAAGACTCAGGACATATGAGAACTTGTACTGTAACGTCACGTAACTCGGTAGTGTCCCAAATTTTCTGATCAAGGAGATTATGGGGCAGAGGAAAGTG